TTATCGTCTTGATGTTGGCATCAGTTGATGGTCTCTTCTTATTCAATTTCAGATCTTCCTGGTTCGTAGAATGACCAGTGATTTTTTTTATTAAAACCTGGACATTTGGGGTGTTATGAGACTCTGGATCTTATTTAGATCTGTTTTAGTTGGCCTTTGTTGACACTGTGTTAGCAGGGGTGGTGGAGGTACTATCTCATTACTTCCAGGTGGGAGTAAAAGTTCAGGTTTCCCCGATGGGCCTCTTTTGGGTCCCTGAAGAGAAGGGGATTTCTGTTTCCTTAATGATACAATGGGAGAGGCTGGCTCTTTGCTGCCTGTAGCTCCCTACCTGGTCTCTGACACTCCAGCAGTGTGGAGAGTTGGTGGGGACACCTCATTACTGCCAAGCAAAAATAGAAGTCTGGGCTCTTATTTCAGCCTTTGTTGTGGGTATATGATGGCTGCAGTTTTTCTGTGGTGTTTGGCTGGAGTAGAATGTTTTTGTCTAAACCTTTACTGTTTTGCTAGGCTGCGCGCACCTTTCCTGGTTCTTAGGCTGGAGAGACCAGGCTCTTTTTCATTGTTGGGCTTTTTTTTCTTTTTTCCTGCCTGCATTCATTGGCATTTCTGAGTTGCCGGTTTCTCCAGCACCAAGACTAGGATATCTGAGGCAAAAAGAAAATTGAGCAAACTCCTAACTGTGCCATTCCTCAGGTTCCAAAGTCCCTAGCCAGTCTGCTTTCCTGTCCCCACCTTTCAGATGTTTATTTATGTTTATGTTGTATATAGTGTCCATATTTTTTATACCACTATTAGTGGGAGTAGGAAAAAAGCCCTTCAATTCTACCTTTCCAGAAGCAAAAGCCTCAGTCCATTCTTTTTTTATTTTTATTTTTATTTTTATTTTTTTTTAATTTTTTTTTCAATGTTTATTTATTTTTGGGACAGAGAGAGACAGAGCATGAACGGGGGAGGGGCAGAGAGAGAGGGAGACACAGAATCGGAAACAGGCTCCAGGCTCTGAGCCATCAGCCCAGGGCCTGACGCGGGGCTCGAACTCCCGGACCGCGAGATCGTGACCTGGCTGAAGTCGGACGCTTAACCGACTGCGCCACCCAGGCGCCCCAGTCCATTCTTTTTTGAGCAGTGGTCAGATCTCTTATGCAAGTACAGATCATCTCATCATAGTTCATAATCTGAATTTGCAAACATCAGCTCCCTACAGTATGCAAAGCTCTTACCAAGCGCTGTGAGGACACAAAGATGAGTCTCTCCCTATTTGCATTAATTTTTTTTCCATTTTTTAGGATACAAAGTACATTTTCAAAAAGGGAAAACCAATGTTGTCTCTGCTCTTAGACTCTAACACAGCAGTGTGTAAAATCCCTCCACCTCTCAGGCAGCTCTCGTCCTGTATGTTTACACACTCATATGTATACACAAACACAAGTAACACTTACTATCCCAGTATCCCCTTCATTTAAGCATCAGAAAAAAATTTAAATATCTTAAATGTATGTGGGTTTCACTAGTTTCCAGTACTAGTAACTTGGGAGAACTGACCAACAGTGTTCTTTATTTTGAGTGCTATTGTTTGGTCACCCAAAGGATCAAGTGGGTCAAGTAGAGAATCTAAAGGGACAGTTGTGTCCTTTAGAGAGTGGTAGAACTCCTTAGATTACTATCACTTGTAAAAGTTCACCGTTTTCCTTTTATTGGTTTAACACGATACCTGGCACATGGCAGATGCTCTATAAAAACAGCACTAGAGAGGCTATTTGGGGGTTGACAGTTGGAATATATGTATATTGCTTTTCCTTTAAAGAGCAGAGAATTTACTCAGCCCCCTAAGCAGTGTCTTTCTTATTTTGCTTTGGGGCGTTTCTGTCCAGTCTCTGACTCTCTTGGTATCTCATTAATTCATTG